GAGTGGTGAGCCTTTTTGTTGATTCTCTATGCGAGTGTGCACTATAACAAGATATGTATTGTGTAATACATCTGTGCATCAGAGTTGGTTTAAAAAAACCTAATATTAACACTATAAACTAGTGTTGTGCCATTATTGCAAAAATATTGTAAATATTCAGAATACAGAACATCAATTATTTAATATTTGGTCACCGTACTTGCTACAGAGATATTGATGTACAAAATGGTGTGAAAATAAAATATTTTGTCTATTTTATATACTAATAAACCTTTCTTTTCATTCCTTAGCAATTTCTGACACACGGCTGTCATATAGATTTATATTTTCGATATTACATGGCAATATTAACATTGAAATTTAACATTTTTGACTCCTGTGTGCGAAGCACAAAAGGGGAGTCTTTGCAGTTAGTGTGTGTGTGTGTGTGTGTGTGTGTGTGTGTGTGTATGTGTGTCCGTCTGACCATACATCATTTTTTGATGAAACTTGGTGCATAGATGCTCTGGGCCAATGCACAGATTTGATTAGGTTTTGGTAAAAATCTATGCATATTAATTACCTAATTTGCATGATAATTAGCTGATTTTTAGCTGTTCCATGACTGTTCCACTGATATCTAAAGAACCACTCATTGGACTTTGATGAAACTTGGCACACTAATGCATAGATTTGATTAGTTTTGGGTAAAAATCTGTGCAATATTAATTACCTAATTTGCATAATGATTAATCAATTTTCGGCTTTTCCACTGATATCTCAAGTACTAATCATCACATTTCAATAAAACTTGGTACATAGATGTCATAGGACACTACACAGACCTGATAGTTTTTAGGGTAATATGAGTACATATTAATTACCTAATTTGCATAATTAATTAATTTTCAGCTTTTGATATATCAAGTAGTAATCATCATATTTCAATGAGACTTGCTACATAGATCTTCTAGGATTATGCAGACACCTGATTAGTTTTAATTGGATATTAATTACCTAATTTGCATAATGTTCCTCTGATATATAAAGAACCACAAATTGAATTTTAATGAAACTTTTAAAGAGAACTATGCAGAAACCCAATTAGTTTTTGGTAAATATTTATGCTTATTAATCACCTAATTAACATAATTAATTAACACTGATAATCACATTTGAATAAAATTTGGTACATAAATGCTCTAGGACAATAGACAGGCCTGATTAATTTTGATTAATATTCTCAATTAGCATAATAATTTTTTGGTTCTGTTCTGTTCATATTAGTTACCTGATTTAATACATAATTAGTTTTCAGCTTTTCCATCAATATCTCATGTACAAGTAATTTTTTAATGTGTCTTCAATACTCTTCAGCACACGGGAGTTCTTTCTAAGCTTTCTTTGATTAGTGTTTAACATTAACATTTTTATTGCAATATTTATTTTCTAAAACATGGACTGAGGCTTAATATTATGACAGAATTTGTGGGGTATAGAAATTATTTCCATGAGTAATGCAGTGTATCATGCGGCTGAATTTTCATCATTGTCCACCTGCTAGGTGTTGTTCAGTTCGAACATTCCTCCCTCTACATAACCGTCTATGCCACATCGTTGCATGATAGAAAGTTTACTGACCAATAGAAAGCTTTGTTACAATGATTGCCAAAAAGCGCTTGTAGCTTTGAATTTCTGATGTCATCGGCTTCATTTCTGCTAATATATGTTGCAGCCTTGCAGTGACATCATGAGCTTCGAGGTGTAACACCTACTCTTCTATAATACTCAACAGTGATGACAACACTATTACCACGCTCGATGGTCGCAAGGCCGGTAAAGCATAATAACATAATGATTTACCATTTCCAGTGCGACTAAAAACGAACACATCAGACTCGGAACTAAGTAGCTTGAATAGCTTTAGTCTGAATATCTGCGAGTTGCATGATATATGAATATCATCCCTGTATTGCCTCGACATCCAAGCCAACACAGCTTCCACTGACATTTATTCCCTGGGAGGACATTTTCATCATTCCACAGCCATCATGGTGAAAACAAAGGTCAAAGACTCTCAGTAAACTGTACTTTGGGATGGTTGTTGAGACTCCCCTGAACAGTTTAACAAGATTACCCCTACATATGCAACATATTTAAATTTGGTTGTTTAGGATTACTTCAAAGTTAAGTTTGTGCTGTTTTCTCGATTTTAGCTGTTTTCACTGGCTTTTCTTCCAGTGTTTCACAGCAGCTCGCGCAGAGCCCATAGAAATACATGGTAGAGTGGTGAGCATCTTTAACAGAAGCTTGGAGCATCTTGTGACTTAGCTCTGCCCAAGGATTTTGATAGTTTGTCCAAGTACGTTGATGAAAGAAGCAATTGTTGGTAAACTGATTCTAAACTGTGGGGGCATTGTCACATACACATAGTCCTGATGAAATATTTTAAGGTGATAGTGGAGTGTTTCACTGAAACATTGACCTTGAAAATTCAAGATGTATTTTCATTTAAGGAGAAAACACCATTCAGAACATTAGTTTGAGTGCTGTCCAATGATTGGTTACAAATTCAGGACATACAACCTTTGGACATTTGAAATATAGCGTCTTCCAGTGTATTTTAACATTGATTCAGAGAATAAAAAACACCTCCATCCTGACAGTCTATCAGCATCCAGAGTGTGTTAATAATAGTATATCATTGCAATCAAATCCACTTTAGGATATTGATATAAAGGAACAGTGAAGTGTAAATAACAAACAAACCCCAAAAATCATTGAAATGAAAAATATAAACTATATATATTATCTAATTCATGTACTAATGTATGTGATTATTTTGTGGTTTTTACTGAGGCAGCTGCTAGAGTGTTTTTAATGCTTTCCTCTCTTTTCTGTGAAGTAATAAAATTATTAGTTTTTGACTCCTGTGTATAAAGCACACAATGGGAATCTTTGTGGTTAGTGCGTCTGTATTTGTGTCTGTTCCACTGATATCTCAAGAACCAATTTCAATGAAACTTGGTACATAGCTAGCTGCTCTGGAATAATGCTCAGACCTGTTTTTGGTTAATTTCTTGATTTGCACACTATTTCACTCATTTCTCGTATACCATTCTACAAATGTGATTAGTTTTAGGTTACATTATTTGAATATCAATGACTTATTTTGTATATTAATTAACCAATTTCTCAACTTTTCTATGAAATTTGGTACACAAGTTTTACTACACTGACTAAACTATGAAAGCGACTCATTTGCAAAATTTAAAGTGAATATACTGAAATTATTATTACATGGACACATGAATAATTTCATGGCTTTTTTGTGCAAACAATTATCCCAATAACAAACATTAGAAACAAAATGTTAATTCAATTTGCAATTCAACTACCAAGAAAACTCAAAATTAGAAGGGAATTTTTACCTCATTTGCATTTTTTATTTCAGTTGCATTCTGAATTGTCACCATTCAAAAAACCATTATCAGCAAATTGCCAGTATAACCTAAACTCGGCTCCTGTTATCATCTATCTGGAAATGATGAAGAATAAAAACACTCTTCACAAATACAACAAAAATGGACAAGTAGATTTCAGAATGGTAAGTTGATTCTTGTCTTCCTTATTCCTGACAGTGATTCTTTTATTTGGTCTTTGTTCATGGTTTGTAGGCTCAGTATAACATCCTTATGACGAGTAAGTGATTCACAAGAAGAAATCAAATCTTTAGATCAGTTCTGCCAACACAAAGAATCTATTTAGTACATTTATCTCATTGCCTCTTCTATTACCGGTAGTTGGACTACCTCTGTTGGTCTACCTATATTACTTGCCATTCACAGCAGTTATTAACTGTATCATAGATTGCCATTGTATTCTTAATTGCTGCTGATCTTGTGCAATATTTTTTTTAATAGCTTCACAAGGATATAACATCCAGTGAATCCCTGGAGAAGACTAAAGCACTATGTCACGAGTATGGACAAAAAGCACTGCAAGCAATTGATTCCTTTCCTGTGACTGACGCCAGAAATGCATTGCAAAATATTATCCGAGCAGTGGCAGTTAGATAAACAATAAAGAGTATATTTATAGACGCAGATCATCTGCTAGTAAACAAAATTGTATAATATGTCATTGACATGGATTGTGTACTACATTATGATTGGATGCTCTTATACTTTAACTTTATTGACATTATTCATTTTGAATAGAACAAAGTCCAATTTATCACTAGATAATGAATTATATA